CTCCCTTCTGGTATTCACAGATGTCTGTGCCTATGAGCACATACTACACGTGCATATATATATATATACATATATACACATACACACACATACACACATGGCAAAAAAAAGTGTGTGTTTTTTTTGTTTGTTTTCTTGATGTTGTGGAAATACTATGTCTGTTGCAATGAAGAATATTCAGTAAATTATCAAAAGTTATGGGGTATGGTGGCAGACACCTATAATCTTAGTGTTTGAGGAACAGAGAAAGGAGGGTTGTGGGTTCAAGGCCAATCTAGACTACACGGGGAGATTCTGTCACAAAACAAACAAGCAAAAAAGAATCAAAGACTGAGGCCTGGTATAAAGGCCTGTGCCTTTAGCTCAACACACAGGAAGCAGAGGCAGACAGCTCTCTATGAGTGTGAGGCTAGCCTGGTCTACATGGTGAGACCTTTTCTTAAAAATAAAATAAGTGGATGCGAGGCGGTGGAGCCAGATTCTGGAGAGGTGAGCAGAAATGTTTACACACAGTGACTGAGGCCTGACAGCAAATCAAGGAAGACAAGCATCCGCTCTACTGGAAGGTAAAGGGATCTGTGCAGAAGGTCTAAGCAACTCTGAGAGTCGCAGAAGCAGTGTAGGGCTCCAGCTAGAGTTGCCTCTTGCCTGGTTGCAGCCCCAAGCCAGCTGGAAAGTCTCATCCTCCAAAGAACCTGCTCCCTAGTGCCATCTCCCAGCCCCAACTCTCTGTTCAAGGGAGGAGAAAATCTCTGAGCACACACCACCACCAGGGCAGCCCCAGCCTGGGAATTGAAGGCCTGACACTTCCTAAGAAGCCCTTGCTTGAGGCTGGGACACAGCTCTAGACAGAAGGAGTGGCCTGGGAGTAGGGCAGGGCCTGGGCTAGAATCAGAGCAGTGGCTTTGGGCCTGCCACCCCCAGATGCCAGGTGGCAGGCCTGAGGGGTATGGGGGTGGCAGAAGATGACTGCCAAGCCCTGGTGCAACCCAGTCTTGCCCTGAGGCAAAGGGGTGGACTAGAAGACTTCCCACACAGTACCCAACTCAAAAAGCAGGAAATTTAGGGCAGGGTAACAAGACCTCAAAGTTCTCAAAAGCGTTTTCTCCATGGGAATGGTGAGCTCGCCCAGCTCACTCTAGATGAGGCAAAGGCCAATGGCGGGGCGGGAGGAGGGGGGTCTGTCAGGTGTCAACAGGGAGAGGCAGCCTTAGTGGGGTTAGAATAATAGAACCTATGTGTCAAAAATATCTGGTCACCAGAAGAGATTAACCAGCTGCACCACAGACAGGATCCTGCACCACCACCTCATGCAGCCACGGGGGCACACAAGCTCCAGCACACGGCCATCTCCACAATCCCTCACCTTGACATGCAGCAAAACCCACATACACAGCTAGGTGTGGTAGCTAGCACTCCCAGAGCCGGAGGTTGAGGCAGGAGTACTACCACGAGTTAGAGTCCAGCCTGAACTACAGATGAGATCCTGTCTCAAACAAAGCAAAATAAACAAAAACCTACCTTAATAGCCCACACTATACCCAAGACACAGCTACCCAGGGTTGCGTGTACATGCATGCACACATGCACACGCATGCACACCCACAGATACACAGACACACCGTGTGCACATATATCCCTGGTCCCCAAGCATGTCATTCACAGGCAGTAATCAAGGGTCTGGAGACGTGGCAGGGATATGGCTCAGGGGCTCCCTGTTTCTGTGGCTGACCTCAGAGGACTTTAGAACAGGGGCTGCTGAGGAAGGGGTAAGCAAGGGCACTCTAGAGAAAGGTGACTCTCCAACAAAGAGGAAGAGCCACGAGCAGCACGTGAGAAAACCAGAAGATGGGTGTGAAGACGGCTTGTCTGAGGAATCTCTACATCACTGGGTCCCACCGGTGTGACCAAGGAGGTATGATCAAAGGGACAGTGTGAGACAGGAGACAAAACAGCAGCTTATTTGTGGCTGTGGAGAGAGTAGGTATTAGTCTCAAGCTAATGACAGTCACCACGAGACTTCAATAGATCTGATTTATCTCCTTAGGTCACTGACTTGAGGAAAACAGGGCAAAAGCATTTCTAATCATGACCAAACCCAGAGACCTTAAAAACTACACATATGACTATATAATGTTTAATTCTGCATGGCAAAAAAAAACTACATATACAGTTGGTACTCACTGACAAAACTTCTGCAAAGGATAAGTCCTGTGTCCAGGAGTAGTTTACTAACACAAAACTAAAACACACACACACACACACACACACACACACACACACACGGACTTTTTGTTTCATTTTAGCATTTTTTGTCTTTCTTGGCCTTTTGCTTATTTTGATTTTCATATTTGTGTTTTTGTAGGGGCTTGTCGTTTGGGGGTTTGTGGGTTTTTTGTTTTTGAAAGAGAGGAAAAAAAGAAAGAACATAAAGTTGAGTGGTCAGGAGGTGGGTTGGGTCTGAGAGAAGTTGGGGGAGGGGCATAACAGGATCAAAATATATCGCATAACTATTTTTAATTTGAGAATGCATATGCAAAGTCAAAAGACAGTTCTCTAGTAGAAGAAACCCTATCTGTGTCACAGACAACATCTCCTTAATACACAAAGCATTCCCAAGAAGTAAATAACAAAAAGGCAGTAAGTTAGCTGTGGGAAATGGACTAAGGCATAGGAACGTTTACAAGAAGAAAAATCCAACAACACAATGACTCTTCAAATACTCTCAAAGACTAGGATCTCTTAAGAGAAGCAAAAATACACATACAATGTCATAGAATTTGATAATGCTCTCTCGTGGCAAGGACTGGGGAAAACCTGATATGTCATGGTAATGCCAACCAAGGCAGCCACGGAAGGGACTCAGCAATATCTACCAACACATTAAACAGCACATCACCTTAAGCCACAAGCGCCACTTCTGCGAACATACCCTACAGACATCATCTTAAATGAGTTAGGGCTGAGGACATGCTCAGTATGGAAGGCACTTGCAGAGCAAGCATGAGGACCCTAGTTCAGATCCTCTAGACCCACCCACAGTCAGACGCAATAGCTCACGTCTGGAATCCCTGCACTCCTATAGTGAGATGGGTGTGAAGGCAGGGGACTCCCTGAAGGCTCAGGGCCAGCCATCCTGGTTACAAAGCAGTGAACAAGAAACCCTATCTCAGCCGGGCGGTGGAGGCGCATGCCTTTAATCCCAGCACTTGGGAGGCAGAGGCAGGCGGATTTCTGTGAGTTTGAGGCCAGCCTGGTCTACAAGAGCTAGTTCCAGGATAGGCTGCAAAGCTACAGAGAAACCCTGTATCAAAAAACCAAAAGAGAGAGAGAGAGAGAGAGAGAGAGAGAGAGAGAGAGAGAGAGAGAGAGAGACCCTGTCTCAAACAAGGAGGAAGCTGAGGACTCACACAAGATTGTCCTCTGACCTAGATCCAGGAGCAGACATTCACTTTCACACACTCATGCATGCGTGTGTGCGTGTACACATACGGAGAAGAAAAAGATAGGTCAAATAATATTGTTCAAGGAGATTTGTTGCAGTGGAAGGAGCAAGAGGGGAAGGAATAGATGGGGAGGAGAAAAAGGAGGGAGGGAGGAGACAGAGGGAGGGACCAGTAAGTGCTCTGCCAACTCTGCCATACTTGCCTAGCCCTGAAAGAAAGGACTGGAAGCAGCCTTAATTTCCATCTGTGTGCGACTTCTAACATGATAGTGTAAACGCGATCCGCCTCTTTAAAACAGCAAAAGAAAGCACCCTGTCTGCTGAGAGGAACAAATCAAAGCACTCAGTGGTACACATAGCACCCCGCCATGGCTTCTCTATAGTTAGGCGTGCGCAGGTTGTTCTAGAAGGAGAACCAGAACCTATTAGCTGGGTGGACTTGTGGGAAGTCTAGTTATGCAATCTTGTGTTTGTTAGCGCCAACCATGAACATGCGAGCTTGTCGGTGAATGGGTAGGACTGGGTGAGCTCACCTGGGATGGGAGATGCTGAGCCTGGCCCAGAGCACCCACAAGAGAGACCTGAGGAAAGGCATCCCAGGGACCCGGAAGTAGGGAGGGCGTCAGGGAAGCTGGGGGAGGAAGGTGCTCTGAGCAGGAAGGCGTGAGCCCACTGCGACAGCTGCTTCAGAAGGTCAAGGATTTACATCTGTGGGATTTAGCCTGACGGAGTCCCAAGTGACCTTGACAAGCCTTTCCCTAGTGACGCAGTGGTGACACAAGTTCGGAAATGGGGGCAGGAGTGTCGCTCTGAAGTAGGAGAGTAATAGGTGATAAGCAGTTGGTGGCAGGGTCAGGGTCCCCCCATGTCACACAGTGACATTAGCAGAGCCATCCAGAAACCCCCAGCACTGCTCAGTCATGGTACTGATAAGGGCCGTGCCCATAGCAAGTACAAGATAGCCTCATCCAAAGCCGTCTTCACTGAGCTCTCTGGGAGCCAGCTGTGTAACTTCTTCCACGTGGACCTGAGCACATCCCTCCGTTTTCCTCCTTGAAGTACTGAAGCAACCGGAGATACTTAATTTGTATGCTGCTAAAACAGCATAAAGCACTTGGAGGAAACAGCCTTGTCCCAGAAAGCACAGCTCAGGAGCACAGGAATCCCTCCGGGTCATAGGAGAACACAGTAGCGGATCCTCCTAACAATGGGCGCCTTTTGTAGATTAGAAGCTGGCACCAGTGGATACAGCAAGTGGGATGAATAGTCACCAGGGTCGGGCAACAGTCATCTCTGTCTAGACAGTGAAGCCTCGGGCAGGGTTGTGACTAAGATTTGGGGATCCCCAGGGAAAAAATTGGGTTTCCATTCCTGGGATTCTAGGGGCTTTCGGGATCCCAGTCCTGACACACAAATAAGGCTAAGTGTCCCTGGTCTCCAGAGCCCAGTTTAGGAGCCCCTCAAGGCCTCCGCCCTTCACAAGCTCTGCCTCCCACGCGGCTCCACACACCCTTGGACAGACTGGGTCCTCTGAAATCGCTCCAAGCACAACCACCCTTGCTCCTGAGATTTCTTTTCCGGGTTGTGTCCCTTCAGGCTGCCAGCCCAGAGTTGTGAGCCCCGCAGGACTGTCACAAAGACACATCTGCCTGCCTGGTGGAGATTGTCATCAAGGACGCAAGCAGGGCAGGAATCCCCGCCCGTCCTGCGGTGTTCCAACGCAGGGTTGAGACCTTGTGGCAGGCGGTGATCCAGAAGGGCAGGGCGCAGACCGGGGTATCTGTGGTAACCACCACTGTGGGCTGGGCCAGTCCTTTATTGCCATCCCTCCTGCCAAGGCACTTAACAGTTTGCAAAGTGTTTCACGCCCTCATGTCATTGTAGCCTTTGCAACAGCCCTGTCAGTGGCCATCAATGCCCCCATTGCACGCCAGCAAGCCGAGGCCCTGCGAAGCAGCCTGGGGCTCCCGGGTCCGCAGCTGCTTCGGGATTAGAACTCGGACCCCTGAGGCGACTCCAGGCTCCTCCTCCAGGCCGCCCCTCCTCCACGCCACCTCTTTCCAGGAGCCTCACTGAGGCCACAAAGCCGGGTTTGGCTCCCACCTCGTTCCTCCTCTGCCGTGGGTCTTGGGCACTAGGAGCCACCCAACGGAGGCAGCGCAGCTGACCGTAAGTACCGGGAAGGGGCGGCAACAATCCTGGGCACTGAACACCCCTCTCTATAGAGATCTCCTGGTGGGCTGGACTGAAGCCTGCCCACGCGTCCAGGCTGAGGATAGAGTGCTGCAGAAGGGCAGTGGAGAGACCGCCTTGCTTCCCCCCAACACACACACACACAAACACACACACACACACACACACACACACACACACACACACACACACACACCACAAAGCATTTTGGACCCGGTGGCGGTACTAGCCGCTGGAAGGCTGCCAGAAGGACGCCCCCTTCCCAGGTCCTCAAGCTCCCAAGCTACCTGGAATAGAAGGAAACTAGGGTCCCAGGGCCCTAATGGGGAGCTCTACCTTTGGAGTCAGCCACAGTGAGGGGTAGAAAGCAAGAGACGGAGAGGTTCTGTCTTGCACCTGGATAAAAACGATTTTTTTGGCAGCTGGAGTTAGGGGGCGATGGTGGATCCAGAACCGGCTCCACCAGTCCCCAGCACGGGCTAGGCGGGAAATACTTTGCAAGTGAGTCTGTCTGGGGTGTGTCTTAGGAGGAACTGGGCAGCCTGCACGGAGAATAGGGAGCCCCAGAGTGTGTGTGGGGGGGTGCGCTGCAGTATTAGAAGTACCAGTAAAAGGAACTCCCCTCTCCTCCCCCTACCTCTCCCAGAGCACGCCTTGGAAGAGCAGGCTGGAGAGGGAACAGTCACGGATTCTTACAGCAACCCAAGGTAGGAGATAAGGAACAGGGTTAGCGACAGACAGATCTCTCGGATGTCCCCTAGCTAGTAAGCGACAATGGGAGATCAGAATCCAGGTGCTAATCCATGGCCCCTCCATAGAGGCCAGGGCTTAGACAGTATCCGGAGCAAACCCTTGAGGGTCCGAGTACTAGGGCTTCACGGTCACCCCCATCTTGTCCAGAACTGAGGTTCTCAAAAGACAGGCCCCGTGGAAGGCAGCAATACTGAGGAAGTGTACTGCCTTCTAACTCCTTTGCAATCCCGGCCAGCCCTCCCACCGCCTCTCTGAAAACTCAGCTTTCCCCTGTTTACTCATTCAGCGTGAATTGAGTACCTACTGTATGCTGTTTTGTGTATCAAACTTAGAAGCAGCCAGCCAGTCAAGTAGGCTTGCTAATTGGACAGACAGATGATAAATGAGAACAAAAACAAAGAAACAAATAGAAGACCAAGACTTAAATTTCAAACTGATACTGAGGACTTAGGAAAACAAAGGGAACTGGAACAGACTAGCTGGAGCAGGTTCAGACCTGAAGTCCTTTGAGAGGAGACCCTAAGGGGATTGTTGTTGGAGCCGAGACACTGAAGTAGTGATTTAGGGTCGGGCCACCTAAGGTTCTAGAGGAAGACCATTCCAGGCAGGAGCAATCAAGGCAAGGTCTGGGCAGAGAGAGGCAAGGTGAGTGTGCACGTGCGTGTGTCTGCACGTGTGAGTACGCATGGGGGGAGGGGCCGGGTGACAGGGCTGTATAGACTCTTGGGGTTGCGATTTAAGCACAGAGAGAGGGAGGGAAGAGGTTTAAGAAAGGGAAGTGTAATCATTTGTGATTTAATGGGCTTCAGGGGGCAAGGAAGAGCTCCCGGGCCCATGAGGGGACTGTGGCAGGAATATGGACAAGGATAACGACAGCTTGGGCCCACGTGGTGGTCCAGTAGTCCTCCCATCCGGAACAGCCTCTGAAGCACTCCCGTGCACACTCAGGTCCACGTGGGCTTGGGGAGAGGTAAACACTCTCACACCCCATCAGCATGCCAACCCCAGGTACACTCATCTGACCCACCTGTCTACACCCGCTGAGTCACCCAGAACTGGGAGGAAGATGAGCCAGCCTGATCAGTCTCTACAAAGCCGGGGCCAACAGCAAACCCAGGGGTGGCTGGGATCCCCCAGGCCCTGCTGTCTCCACATAGCTTCTGAGATGAGTGCTGGCCTAGGAAAGAGACCCAAACCCCTGTGCATTTCCTCTGGTGCCAACCTCCTGCCTTTACTACCACTGACTGCAATGTTGGCAGGCCTTGGCGACGGGGCGATAACTATTAAGAGCACTGGCTGCGCTTCCAAAGCACCTGGGTTTGATTCTCAGCGCCCACGTGGCAGCTCACAGCTGTCTCTAACTACAGTTCCAGGGGATCTGATGCCCTCTTCCTGCCTCCATCTGCACCAGGCACCCATATGGTGTATAGAAAAATACATGCCAGCAAAATTCATACACCTAAAAGTAAAATGTAAATAAAAAGAAAAAATTATTGCCAGGTCCTTTCTCCTCTTCCAGCTTCAGGGGCCTCTTTGTAGAATAGGTTCACAACGCCACGCTGTCGAGACGTCAATGAGAGAACAGTTTTCAAAATTGTGACTTGGGGCTCAGTCAGTACTGGCCTAGCATGCCCGAGGCCCCGGGGTTCCATCCTCAGTACCACATAAAATGGGCATGGCATTACACTCCTGCAAAACCAGCACTCAGGAAGCAGAGGATGGGGGGGGGGGGACTAGAATTTTAAAGTTATCCTTGGCTATACAGAGAGTTCAAAGCCATTTCGAGATGCTGTCTGAAAAGGGAAAGAAAAAAAAAGGGTCTGAGGTGGGCATCCAGGAAGGGAAGGAAGAACATGGGCCTAAGTCCAGTCCTCTTCATGCAAATTCCTGGCCTGCCTGCGCCCTGCAGTCATGAGTCACCAGCACTTATCGGACACTCAATATGATTTGTAGTCATTTGATTATCAGCTTCTCCATCCATTAGCTGGAAGGGGAGTGGGCGCCACTCCAGGGTGCCCTCCCAAAGGGTTAAATGAGGGGAGAGGGAGAAAGAGAGAGAGAGCGCAGGAGAGAGCTTGTGAGCACCACGGTAAAGGGTCATTGTCTGCAATACACTCTAATGCTGACTGGGCGGGTTGCATGTTCCTCATGAGCCTCCATGTCTTATCTGTGTCTTGGGAAGGGTCATCACCTCTTAGATCCTGGTGATGACTGACCAGGTCCACCCAAAGGAAAAGCTCAGTGAGTGTGGGCATGGAGGTGCACACCTTTACTCCCAGCACTCAGGAGGCAGTCACTAGTTCCAGGCCAGTCTAGCTAAATTGTGAAACTTGTTTTGTATTTAAAAAAATAAAAATGCAAATGGACGAGGGGTGGAGGGATGGCTGAGCCTGAGCTACATAGTGAAATCTTTCTTTCTTTCTTTCAACCCAAGGTCTTGTGATATAGTCCTAACTGTCCTAAAACTCACTGTGTAGACCAGGTTGGCCTCAAACTCATGGAGATCCACCTGCCTGCCTCTTCCTCATGAGTGCTGGGGTTAAAGGCATGTGCCACTGTACCTGGCAGGCGGTGGTGGCGCACGCCTTTAATCCCAGCACTCGGGAGGCAGAGGCAGGCAGATCTCTGTGAGTTCAAGACCAGCCTGGTCTACAGAGCTAGTTCCAGGACAGGCTCCAAAGCCACAGAGAAACCCTGTCTCGAAAAACCAAAAAAGAAAGAAAGAAAGAAAGAAAGAAAGAAAGAAAGAAAGAAAGAAAGAAAGAAAGAAAGAAAGAAAGAAAGGAAAGGAAAGGAAAGGAAAGGAAAGGAAAAGAAAAGAAAAGAAAAGAAAAGAAAAGAAAAGAAAAGAAAAGAAAAGAAAAGAGTCAGGCCTGGATTGATGACTGAGCAGTTAAGAGATCTATCAAAGGACGAGAGTTCAGTTCCCACATAGTCTGGTGGCTTGCAATGGTCTATCAGCGCCAGCTGCAGAGGATCCCATACCCTCTTCTGTACTCGGTGGCATGTGCACATATATAAACAATAACACACATATCCATAAACAAAAAATATTTTTAATCATTTAATTATAATTAAAAGTCATCAAGCGAACCATTAGCATAACGATTTTCTCCATTGTCCCCTCAGGTGGGTACAGTGCCCCTCTCCCCAGCCGTGAGCTGGCACCATGGACTGGAAGAAGCTCCAGGACTTGCTGAGTGGTGTGAACCAGTACTCCACAGCCTTCGGGCGCATCTGGCTGTCAGTCGTGTTCGTCTTCCGGGTGCTGGTGTATGTGGTGGCGGCTGAGCGCGTGTGGGGTGACGAGCAAAAAGACTTTGATTGCAACACCAGGCAGCCTGGCTGCACCAACGTGTGCTATGACCACTTCTTCCCTATCTCCAACATTCGCCTCTGGGCCCTGCAGCTCATCTTTGTCACATGTCCCTCTATGCTGGTCATCTTGCACGTAGCCTACCGCGAGGAGCGGGAGCGGAAGCATCGCCAGAAGTACGGGGAGCAATGTACCAAGCTGTACAGCCATCCTGGCAAGAAGCACGGTGGCCTGTGGTGGACCTACCTGCTCAGCCTCGTCTTCAAACTCATCATTGAATTCGTCTTCCTCTATGCCCTACACAAGCTCTGGCACGGCTTCACCATGCCACGTCTGGTACAGTGTGCCGGCGTGGAACCCTGCCCCAACACCGTGGACTGCTACATCGCTCGGCCCACGGAGAAGAAAGTCTTTACCTACTTCATGGTAGGCGCCTCCGCTGTCTGCATTATTCTCACCATCTGTGAGATCTGCTACCTCATCTTCCACAGGGTTATGCGAGGCCTGAGCAAGCCTAAAAAGAGTGGCATCTCCCCAAAGTCCTCCAGCCGAGCCTCCACTTGCCACTGCCACCACAAGCTTCTGGAGAGTGGGGACCAGGAACCAGACCCAGGCGATGCCAAGCCGCAGGCTTCAGCTCCAAATCTGACCCCCATTTGAACCGCAAGCTGGAGAAGTGAAGCAGGGAGGTACTGCGGGTGGAGGGGTCCTTAGCGGGGCTGGGTGCCCCCACTTTGAATTCACTAAGCAAGCCAGTTTCATATGATACAGATATTCTGGGTTCTGTGCTGGCTACCTGGTATGGCAAACCCAGCTTCAGAGAGACATTTAGATTAGCAAATTAACTACATGCGTGCAAGGGTCTATTTAGCTGAGCTGGTAAGCAGTGCTTCTACCTACCCCAGGGGACTGCCAGGCCAGGCAGCCTGGCAGAAAAGCACCGTGGAAGAGAGAAATGGAGGGAGCTCTACAAAAGAGGTAGCAACAGCAAAAAGAACTGGGGATCTCAGAGGAGGGGTGCTGGCCGGGGATAGGGGACAGCCAGCCAGAGAGAGTGTTTAAATCCCCACCCCACCCCCACCCCGTGAGAAGCTGCTCGGGTTCCTATGTGGAATGTTCTAGAGGCCAAAGAACGAACGTAGAAAGTGGTAGTTTAGTCTTGTCATGTCAACTGCTGTTTGGGACACCCAGGGGTCCTCTGGATCACCCTCTCCAACCTCCATCTTCAGGCAGCAATACTCTTCTTCCTCCTCCAGGGTGCTCAGTCCACTGCACCCTGTGGCCAGGACCTTGGGCGCATGCATGGAACCCGTACATCCTAATCAGTTTTCTTTAAAGCAATAAAGTTTCGTTTTATACAGTTTGCGTCTCTCCTCCATTCTCCCCAACTTCCACCCAGTCCCAGGGATAGGAAAGAGCCCTTGGGCTTGGGGATGAAGCTACTTTCGAAGTGTGACATAGGCTGAAGCTGAGGTTGAGAAAGGGTGGAGTTGCTGATGGCAACTGTTGTCAGGAAACCATGGGTGTAGGGGGGCGGGAATGCTCACGTTAGGATTCTACTTGTGGCCACCAGAGGGCGCCTCCAGCCTTCTTAAGTTAGACCGGTCTGAGCACACACACACACACAATCACGGTCGCTCAAAACAGACAAATCACACTCGCACCTTGGTCACTCAGCCCACATCCCCACACTGTGTTCACACAAGACCTGCTATTCATACGCTCACTCATGCACACTCATGGTAAAGTAAGTATATAGCCACCCTAGAGACTGCTCACATCCCAGCCTCACCCAGCAAGCAATTCATTCAGCTCTGTCCATTTCCCCCCTCTGTCCCCGAATTTTTCACACCAGCCCTAAGAAAGATGCTGGGACACCCTAAGTGGACCTAAGCCCAAGGTGCCAGTCCTGGGTTGGCAGAAGCACAAACTCGGCATTAAAGCTCTGCTCACAGCCCTGATCCAAGTGCAATCGTGACCTGCAGTTGAAGGGAAACCAGTATCCCAAGCCACACCAGACTATGAAGCGGAGCCTTGTGCAAACATAGATGAGTCCTTGGGAACATTTAGTGACCATTAAAACCAATGCCAAGAGCTAGAAAGTCAGGAGTCAGTGGGCTGACAGCCAATGAGAGCAAAGAGGGGTCAGGGTGCCTCGCAAACACAACAGGCTGTGGTTCACCTTTGCTCCCTGTGGCCGTTAAGGGGTGGGTGAGTCAGCCTGGTTTAATGGCTCTGGGCTAGGCCGATCACTTCCTGAACCATCCCCTTCCCCTGAATTAAATCACTGCCTCGTCATTTCGCAATACACTTTCACCACACACTTCGATTCAACTTTAAGAACTTCTGCCTTATCATCAATACAATAGGACCTGTGTCAGCCCAAGTCCCAACAGAAAGAGCATGAATGAGTCATGCTTTGTAAGCTACGCGGGGCACAGAACCAGCCAGGAGACGCGCTTCTGGCCAAGTCTGTGAGGGACTGTCTGGATTGGGCTAACAGGAGGCAGCCCCTCAGAGACCGAGGTCCTGGACTGAATAAAGAGGAGAGAGTAAACTGAGGAACCAGTTTTGAGCTTCCTAGCCGAAGTCTTCATGTCCCTTCTGCCCATGTCTTCCTTGTCATAACAGATCGCAGTCTCAGACTGAGACAATATAAGCCTTTTCCTCCTCAGGTTGCTTCGCAGGTGTTTGGAAAAGCCATGTGAAAAATACCTACTACTGTACCTAAGGAATGGTACTGTCACCTGGGGTGAGGGATGGGGTTAGTACCAACGTGAGAATGAGATTTAACTAGAGGATACATTTCACACACACGCACACACACGAGGCAATAATCCCCACCCCCACCACTACACTCTCCCTCCGCCTCCGGTTCACAGTTCACACAGTCTGTGGGTGCAGGTGAGCCTCCCAGGGCTCAGGGCAGGGTGGGGCAGGGTGGAGAGTCGCTCTGGGGGGCAGAAGGACTCAGCTCTGTACTTGGAACTGTTCATTCTGGGAGGACCGCTCGGGAAATCAAAGGAGACAGTAGGTGAAACATTAGCGCACTGCTGTGGGGCCAAGAAATGCCTAGGAGGGTCTCTAGTGATTGGGCTCTATCCACGCAGCTCTCGGCCAGGGCTGGGCAGTTACAAAGATCTCTGCCTGTTTGTTACTACAGATTTCAGGATTTTCCCTCTTTTTTTCCCCCTTCCTTTAATTTATTTTTTTAATTTTTTAAAATATTTATTTATTATGTATACAATATTCTGTCTGTGTGTATGCCTGCAGGCCAGAAGAGGGCGCCAGATCTCATTACAGATGGTTGTGAGCCACCATGTGGTTGCTGGGAATTGAACTCAGGACCTTTGGAAGAGCAGGCAGTGCTCTTAACCTCTGAGCCATCTCTCCAGCCCCTAATTTTTTTATCATGTTTATATATGTCTGTGTGGAATGTGTTTGTTCATATGAGTGCAGGTGCCCACGGAATCCAGAAGAGGAGGTCAGATCCCCTGGAGCTAGAGTTACAGGTGGCTGTGAGCCTCCTGATGTGGGTGCTGGGAACCAAACTCAGGTCCCCTGCAAGAGCAGGAAGTACTCTTAACCACTGAGCCACCTCTCCAGCCACGCCCCACTAACAAACAAACAAATAAAAACAAAATAAAACAAAAAAGCATGGTTTCAATAACTGGTTGGCTAGGGAGCGGTGGTGTCCCCTTCCCCTCCTCAGTGCTGGGACTGTGTCGGGTTTGAACCTGTGCAGTCCGTCCTTGTGTGTGCTGTCTTGGTCTCTGTGAGCTCATATGCGCACCAATCCTCTTGTGTCTGGATGACACTGTTTCCTTTGGAGTCCTCCCCCACGTTTCCTCTAATTCTGCACAGATCACTAAGTCTCAAAGGGAGGGTTTAATAAAGACATACCTGCTGCATGAAGGAAAATTACGTTTTTCAATGGATTGTCACTGGGCATATCCACCAGCTCAGGTGACAGCCCCAGGCCCAGGAGGAGTTGGCCAATACAAAAGGAACTCCGTGCTTTTTGTGTGCTTTTTGCTTCCTTTTGGAATTTTTGTCCTAATGCTTTGTTTTAAGTTTATTTTGACTTTCTTATTTTTGTTTGTGTTTTTTTTTTTCTTTTTTGGAGAGAGAAAGAACGTGACTTTGGGTGGGTAGAGAGATGGGGAGAATCCAGGAGGGATAGGGGGAGGAAAAAGAATATGACCAAAATTATATTGCATTTAAAAAATTAGTAAAAAGAAATTTAAAAAGTTTCATATCACCCAGGCTAGTCTTGAACTTGCCATGTTGCTGAGGATGACTTTGAACTTCTGACCCTCCTGCCTCCATTCCCTGAGTGTTGGGTCACAGGTGTGTACCATCACTCCCTGATTGCTGGGGTACAGGTGTGCACCATCATGCCTAGCTTTTTTTTAAAAGATCTATTTATTATGTACACAGTGTTCAGCCTCCATGTATGCCTGCAAGCCAGAAGAGGGCACCAGATCTCAGTACAGAAGGTTGTGAGCCACCATGTGGTTGCTGGGAATTGAACTCAGGACCTCAGGAAGAGCAGTCTGTGCTCTTAACCTCTGAGACATCTCTCCAGCCCCATGCCTAGCTTTTGAAATGCTGAGGATTAAGCCGAGATCTCTTTGCTTGTTAGGTGTGAGGGTCTGAATGAGAATGGCCCCCATAGGCTCATATATGTGAATGTTTGGTTCCCAGTTGGTGAACTGTTTGGGAAGGATTAGAAGGTGTGATCTTGTTGGAGTAAGTATGTCACTGGGGGTCCAACTCATGTCATGCCTGTCTGCCCGCCGCCATGTTTCCAACCATGACGATAATGGACTAACTTCCTGAAACTGTAAGCAAGCCCCCAACTAAATGCTTTCTTTAATAAATTGCCTAGGTCATGGCGCTTTGTCACAGCAATAGAACAGTGGCTAAGATACTAGACAAGCACTCTCCCAACTGATCCTCCTTCCTAACCCCTCAAGCATCTTCCTGGGTGGTGTCAGATGTCTGGCAAAGGGTGGCACAGAAGTCACTGCAACTAGAAAACATCAATTCTTCCGGGGGGAACTGAGGGAGGGCTCGGTAGACTGAGATCTTGGCCCTGCTCACATTTCTCCAGGTTGGAAGCCAAGTCCACAGAGGGGAGGGGGGATATCCTTTGCCTGCCTCCTCTGGCTCTTGCTGGCATAGAGCCAAATTTATCAGGATTTTAACGCACACTAAAGACCTACTGAGATGTCCAGCCTTGTGGACTGGATCATTAGATCTTCTGTTGGCAGATGGCCATTGTTGGGTTAGCGGGACCACAGCGTGTGAGCCCTTCTAATGAATCCCCTTTCTATAACATAGATAGATTCGTTCTGTAAATTCTGTTCCTCTAGAGAACCCTGACTAATCCAGATGTTGGTACCAGAAATGGTTCTAGAGCAATAGAATTAGAGGGATGAATTTTTCTTTAAGTTTCTGGAATAAACTTTCCAATTTGTTAACTTTTTGTTAACAAATTGGAATAACAAATTGTTAATAAATTGGAATAACTTTATAAATAAATAAAGTTATTCCAATTTGTTAACACCTACAGCTAACAGTTCCTGCAGCCTTTCCTGGGATCTCAGAGAGTACCAGAAAGTCACAGTGTAAACTATGTTACAAACTTAAGGAGGCAAATGCATTTGGTTCTCCTGACTCACCAACTGTGAGGAGTTATATAAAACTTCTGGCAGTTTGCAAAAGTACAAGGAAAATGGTGTTGATGTTGGTTGCTCCTACCGTCTCTGGATTAATTGACAAAGGAAAATAATGGGCTGCACAGACTCAACGCAATGCCCATCAAAATCCCAGCAAAATTCTTCAAAGACCTCGAAAGAACGGTACTCAACTTCATATGGAAAAGCAAAAAACCCAGGATAGCCAAAACAATCCTGTACAATAAAAGAACTTCTGGAGGCATCACAATCCCTGACTTCAAACTCTACTACAGAACTACAGTACTGAAAATAGCCTGGTATTGGCATAAGAACATACAGGAGGACCAATGGAACCAAATAGAAGACCCGGATATCAATCCACACATCTTTGAACACCTGATATTGGATAAAGAAGCAAAAAATATCAAATGGAAAAAAGAAAGCATATTTAACAAGTGGTGCTGGCTTAGCTGGATATTAACATGTAGAAGAATGAAAATAGACCCATATCTATCACCATGCACAAAACTCAAGTCCAAATGGATCAAAGACCTCAACATAAAGCCAGCCACACTGAATCTTATAGAAGAGAAAGTGGGAAGTACACTTGAACACATTGGCACAGGGAACCACTTCCTAAATATGACCCCAGCAGCACAGACACTGAGAGAAACAAGTAATAAATGGGACCT